ACACGTTACACCTGATCTTGCAAATTAATTGGTTAATTATTTACTGGTGATGATCACCAGTGGCGATAAATAGCAAATTCTTAATATTAATTATTCTTTATAAATATTATCAAATTGTTCATAATATTCATTTTGATTGGCTTGATTTTATACCCAAATTAAAAGATCTTTAGGCTTTGCAAGAATTATTAATTGCATTTTAGCTTATCTTGAATCAGCTATTTTAATAATTTCATATAGTATAGGGGTAATATAGGAATAACAGGCTTCAGAATTTAATTTTTCTAATTAAGTTTGTTTGATTATCTTATTAGCAAGTTTTCAAATATAATTTTTTTACAATCAGGTATTAATATGGTTCTTAAATTAAATAAATTATAAATTATATATACTATAATATTATAATATCTCATCACTCATCCAAGGAAGAACTGGTACTAGTAACTTCTTTCTTGGTATTTCAGAAATATAGTCTTGTTTATCAATAAACTAGCTGTCAATACCTTTTCAATATCAGATATTTCAAAAGATGTTGTCTCAAAAGAAAATAACTTCTTAACTTCACTTTTAGAATGGTTTAGCTAATTTTCAGAAATATTGTTCAAAGCAGCTAAATGGCTAAATGATTTCTAAAAAAATAATAATGATTAATAATAATAAAAGTATTTAAGTATTGTAAGTTATATTAAGTAAATTACTGTATTACACCTTTTGTGATATCATAAACACTGATTATTTAAAAGCTTTACAGCTGGGGTAATATTTCATTCTTTTTTTAGAGTTTAAAATAGATCTCAGTAATTTCAGTAATTGTAGCTTTATTTTACTTCTTGTTTGTTTCTAAAGTTATTTAAAAAGATTAGATAGAAATATAAGTTTTTTAGTAATAATTAAAAAAATAAATACGCATTTTTCAAACTAGGTATTGAATTCTCTAATAAAAAGTTTAATATAATTTTGAGTGATTTATTTGTTTTTTTGATTTTTAGGTCCAAGTTTGAACTTGTATATATATCTATTATTAAGTACTTGAGATTCAGAATCTTTAAGATCTTCAAACCCAATAAAATAATATATCTTCTTATAGATTTTTGCAGTAAGTATAGAATTTGCTATACTAATAGCATGTGAAGAATTATTGGCTGTATTTAAAATGATAATATTGTTATTATGGTTTTGAATATATGATAATATATTATTCACAGTAGTTTGAACTACTGATATTGATATTAAGAAATTTTCTAATATAGTGGTGGTTATTATTAAAATATCTTCTATATGTTGTATTTAAATTTCATGTTCATTACTGATCTATTGCATAGATGTTATAAATTTACTTTAATTTTTTTATAAATATCAAGTCGATATTTCAAAGATTCAATTAAATTTTTTGTTATTTCAAGCTGATATTTAATATTTGAAGAAGTTAAAATAGATTTTACTAGGATGTGGTGACTTAGTGAAGTGGTCAAGTTATTACCCCAAGTAGCAGATCTAAAGTTCAATTTCTACTAGCAATGAAAATTAAATACTTAATCTGTATATCAACAAATATGTTGACTTAATTAGGCATGCTAGCATAAGATGCTGTAACTAGTTATCATATAGAAAGAACTACTTGTAAATTCTGTATATAGTATTCATTTGGGAAAGGTTGATAGTTGGGTCTATGAAGAAATGCAAGCTGTACAACTAGTGCAAATTCACAATAAGATTATATATAAGGGTTATCTCCAAATGCAGAATAGAACTACATACTGGCACACACAATTATAAATATGAACACTTATATACAAATACAAACAAAAACACCATATAAACAATTAAGATTCTTCTGTAAAATATTAATGCAACTACCACTTTACTAAAAGATACATGCGTTGTAGTTAATAAGGAGAATGAGGAATAGAAATGGGTGATAAAGCTTCTATACGTAA